TTATTGTTGCTCTTCATGTCGCTGCTGATGTTGTTGTTGTTGTTGTTGCTGCTGCTGCTGTTGTTGTCGTCGCCGCCGTTGTTGTCGTCGTCGTTGCCGTTGTTCCTGCTATTGTTTTTGCTGTTGTTGTTGATGTTCATCATACTGTTGATGCTACTGCTGTTGTTGTTGCTGTTGCTGTTGTTTCTGCTGCTGTTGTTGCCGCTGTTTTTGTTGCTGCCGCTGTTGTTGCTGCCGCTGTTGTTGCTGCTGTTGTTGCTGCTGCTGTTTTTGCTGCTGTTGTTGCCGCTGTTGTTGTTGCTGCCGCTGTTGTTACTGCCGCTGTTGTTGCTGCTGCTGCTGCTGTTGTTCATTGTTGTTGCTGCTGTTGTTCATTGTTGTTATTATTGGTGCTGCTGTTGTTGGCATTGTTGTTGTAACCTTACCTACTCAAACAATCGTATATATCCCCTTCTATCCTTACCATATCCCCTCAAGTAAAATCATATCCCCTTATATCCTTACCATATCCCTTCCCGGTTATCATATCCTTGAGTTTTTCCAAGGTTGCGTAATCAGCCAACAAATGAATATGTGATCTATACGGCTGTGATGCGATGCTCTTCAACTCGTCCTGGTCTGCATTCTTTGTAATACCAATAGCAAAAATTTCATAATTTCTCTCCCTAAGTCTTCCTGCAAAGTGTCGCGGGTTTGTCCCGGCATTCGATCGTCCGTCTGTAATCAGGAATAGCACTTTGTGGCTGCCTTTTCTCGCCTCTGGAGAAACATCATGATACACTTTGCTCAAGGCTGCTTCCGTGTTCGTACCACCCCCCTGGAATTGAATGTTGCCTGTTGGAAAAAAAGAAACGCCAGATTAATAGACAAGATTGTGTATCATCTTGTAACAAAGATTGATGCATGGCCGGATTTTGAGGGGAGGTGGGCACCTCCCCTGAGATCGTTTTGCATTTCCCCTTCATCTTGGAGAATTTTTGCACCTCCCCTGAAAAGTCACGCACCTCCCTTTGGGAAAGCAATGATAGATCAAAGTGAAAACTTGACACTTTGTGGTTGCTTACGGTCTACACTTCGTAAGAAAGTTTTTCTATAAAATTGAAACAGCCCAGGATGGCCATTCATCTCTATGTCAAGTACACTTTTAATGCAATGTTTTGAAAGAAACTTTGTAGTAATTGTAATGAAGGGCAAAATTGGATGAGTTGTACAGTCATAATTCATTAATACACTGATACATATGTACACTACACTACATGCATACATAATGTCGTTGACTTTGGCCCGTTCTAACTTTCCATGGGGGTCGTGAGCTAGACCGCTGCACCTCCCCTACTATTTACACCAAAATCCGGCCTTGGGTTGATGAGGCCAACAGACTCGCTACAAGTTGTTCCAACAAGTCTGATATCGTCTGCGCGGAACAAGTTTATAAACAGGTTGATGACAGCAAACTCGCAGCAACCTGTGACGAGCTGCGTGTATTAGTCTTGTTGAAAGAACTTGTAGCAAGTCTGTTACCGTCATCAACCTTCATGTAACAAGGTGATAACAACTTGTTCCAAACTTGTCACAACAAGTGGGAACAAGCAGTGCGAACACATCCTGGCTTCAAAACAACCTTGTTACAACTTGTTTGCAGATCTCAGGGCGGATCTGTAACAACTTGCGCGTTTTTACGTGTGTACTTCAAATGTGATAATAGAATGTGCGTCCGCATGCTCTCTGTTAAGGTTACTTCACACGATGAACGTGCGTTTTAGTCTATTGGACATTGCGCAACGAATTTTAGGTGTAACTTTACCAAATTTTCAGTGAAGAAAGCCAGATAAATGCTGATTTCGAACATTTTCATTTGGTGGGTGTTCAGTTTAAACATTTTCAGTATTGGCTGACTGAATATATATATAGGTACCTTCATAAAAAAATCAAAATATGTTCATAGTTTACCTCAACGTTTGTCTAGATATCGCAATTCGAATCTTCATAGGCATGGTAAAAAAATGTGTGCGGAAAATTTCTCTTCTTTAGTGGTTTTTCCGATATGCCCTGATTCTTAGATTTGTCACTGATAATTCACGAAGTTGTTAAAGAAAACGTCATATCAGAAAAACCATTGAAGAAGAGAAATTTTCCGCACACGTTTTTTTTAACGTACCTATGAAGATTCAAATCGAGATATGTAGACAAACGTTGAGGTAAACTATAAATATATTTTGATTTTTTATGGGATACCTATATATTTCTTTAGTCAGCTAATACTGGACATGTTTAAACAGAACACCCATCAAATGAAGATTTTCGAAATCAGCATTTTCTTTGCTTTCTTCACTAAAAATTTGGTAAAGTTGCACCAAAAATTCGTTGCGCCATCTTCAATAAACTAAAACGCACGTTCATCATGTGAAGTAACCCTAAGTACTAAAGGCTTTATCAAATTTTCTAACTAAATATAATAATTGTTTATCATATATCCTGCCCCTACATATCTTACCCAGTTCTCGCATAGCCTGGTCTGTATCATTCATAACATTGGTAGCCAAGTTAAACTTTATTTCAGCTGCGGCATTGAAAGTCACGATCGCCACTCGTGTGCCCTGTGGTTTGGTCGATACTCCGTACTCTTTGATGATCGTTTGCACGAACTCGATTCCTCGTCTGAAGTTCGTTTGTCCGACGCTAGCCGAACTGTCGAGAACGAACACGAAGTCAAGTCCGGAAGCACCTGAGGATATTCCGGATCTCCCACGACTGTCCACAGTGACCAAACCGAATTTGTTGACCAAGTTCTTTCGCAAATTGTCTGCGACTTCTTTTAGTTCTAGGGCGGGGTCTGCAGGACGATAAAAGGAAAGCCGTTAAGATTTATTACACTGGCCTGTAGGGCCAGGTGTCTTATATCCCTAATTTTCTGTTTTTTCGTAATCGAGAAATCGAGTTTGCGTTAGCGCATCGCAGGCTCGGAGTGCAACGATTAAGGCAAAATATCATCGATTACTCGATTTAAATACTATAGTTGCTGGTCATGATTGGTTGTATTTATATGGTCCAGACCTCCTGCATTCGTATCTACTTTTCTATTACACATTACACCCTACCACGAAAGTTGCCATTTTCAGGCCAATGTGAACGCCTGAGCAGCCGTCCTGTTGTAAATATAATATCACTTTCGCGCAGCGCGTCACGGATTAATCATTAATCAAACATTTTCATGCTAGCTATGTTCACACTAAGCCGTTACAGTTTGTTTACAAATTAAATTAACACACATGTAAACCCAAAATGTTTCAATCAGAGCAGAAAAAATTTAAATGAAAAACATTCCAATTTTGTGGCGTTTGTGTTCACACGAAGCCGCCAGGCGCTCCATTTTCTTGTCGCCCCGTTTAGAAACCGTGCTCAAATTGTTACAACAAAAGTGACGTTTTACAAATAAATTCGCTCGGGCGATATGTATGAACGCGGCGGGGTAATTGTGACTTTTTTGTGCCGTTTTCAGCTCCGGTGTGAACGTAGTTTAAACATCGAAACATTAATTAATATCGTAACAAAATACAGTATATTAAGACGAGCAGAGCAAGCCTAGCAAATTGCCCAACTTTTTAAGTGAGAGTCTGCCCGACTGAAACACTGTCGGAAGGCTGCAGCCTCCCCCTAGCCCCCTCCCCCATCTCGTACGCCTATGACTTTGTGGACATTCTCACCTATTTTCACACATTTTGCCCGCTTTCCACTCCATTTTCCATTTGACATGCACTTGCGTGAAACGGAACCAACCAGTTTGTAACCGGTATTACAGGAATATTTCACTCGTCGGCCATATTTGAATTTTGTTCCATCTCGGACTCCGTTCCGTGGCGCACCCGGTTTAGGACAGGACACATCTACAAACAACACAAGTAATAAATTGTGACCTTCCCATGAGGCACGAGGGCCTGTCGAGAAGGCTGATTTCGATGTTAACGAAGAGCCTGAGACCGAGTGTTAAACGCAATTAAGAAAAACCTCAATCACTGAAAAGATCCCCTCAAAATTAGTGGTGGTGATGATGATGATGATGATGATGATGATGATGATGATGATGATGATGATGATGATGATGATGATGATGATGATGATGATGATGATGATGATGATGATGATGATGATGATGATGATGCAACAACCGGAAAATATATAAGGAGAATTTCGATGTTTCGAGCCTTTTGCCTGGAGTTATTGTATTACCTTTTAAACATCGTGGTACATGACCACTCCACTTCCCTGTAGCTAAACACGTGAGTTTCTTTGGTCCCATGATGTTATACCCAGACGAACAACTGAACTTCACCACGGCATTCACCCCCCTTCTTCCTCGTATTTTACCATGTTTTAAGTTCCTCAGCCTTTTACATTTCACCTGGGGTGGGGGTGTTGCCTTTGCTGCAAGAAAAACAAGGTTTAAGTTAGACTCAAAAATCATGACCAGCCGACGATTTAAAAAAGTAAAGTAAAAAACAAATTCCGAAAAGACAAGACATCTTGAGAATATAATATATGATTCAAAACAAGACGAAGGTTAAGACTGTCGAAAATTTACAGTCTCAACCTGCGTTTTGTTTTGAATCATATTTTATTCTCAAGATGTCTTGTCTTTTTGGAATTTGTTTTTTAACTCAGTTTCACTCTAAAAACACTATGGTTAAATTTTTTCTGCTTAACCTAGATATAACCCTGTTAATTTGGTAAACTTAATATGGCGTAGTGGGTTCGATTCTCTGAGTTCGTGGATTCGATTGTCGGACTCATAATCAGTGAAAAGAGTCCGTCAACGCTCTGCCGAAAGTCTTGGACTTTCTCCGGGTGCTCCGGTCTCCCACATGAGGGAACGTTGACAGGGTGGGTTAGGATAAACACAGTTAAGAAAGTAATATCACAATGGTTGTATAAAGATAGAATAGTAATGGTCGATCATTTGGACTTACATATACAGACGGGTTTTGTTCCGCTCCAGGATCCAGATATGCATATACGTAATGAACTGCCCACCAACTGACCGTTATTCCTACATCGGAAAAACAGCCAATCACGGTGCTTGTATGATGCCTGTACTGTCGTCCCACTTTTCTTTGAGTTTGAGCGGAAAATGTACAGTAGTGACGTCATGTTAGGCGATGTACAGTTACCTACAGTTTGCGAAATTAAATGTATAAGAGGCCAAAATATCAGTAATGGTTATCTTTCGCCTGTGAACACTCACATGGCAGATGCCCTTTTGAGAGTTAACCACCGATTTTTTTGCCCAGTCGAAAGTCGCCAATTATTTTTCAAAATCGTGAACATCAGACCGAGTGTCGATAGATTTATATATTGTACAATGATGTGAAAAGTCAGAGACCTCTGTTTTCAGATTGAACGATAATAAGCTGAGTCTGTTTTTGTTTTGTTTTAGGCCTACATTTGTGACGGTTTATTAGCCGAAAAAGCCATGTAAAAAGTGGTTTATCATGGCAACGATACAGTTTTAAACTTTTATCCCTTGCAGTAAAAGTCAACCTTACGTACTTTTGGCGGCCACGCCAGCAACGCACAAACTCACAAACGTGATCATAAGTCGTAAAAAATTCGACATCTTATAACCTACAAAAGTAAGAACATTTTTATAGTGACAAGTTAAATTAAAGCCCCGTACGGGCGAGCGACTTTTCCTTGACATGTTTACTTGCTTGTATGTAAGTTACGGTAAAAAACTGTCAATTTTTCCTTGCCAAAGAGCCCTGTTTCAAAGCTATTCATGTCGGCTTTTGGACAAGGAAAATTTGTTCGTGTGTACGGCCGCCAAAAAAAACTTGAGAGTTGTACAAGAAATATTTTTATGGTTTTGGCAAACAAAAGGCGACCTTGAGGTGAGATAAATGTTGAAGAACATTCCAAGCAACAAAACGTGTCAAGGAAAACTTGTTGACCGTACACACGAGAAGGTAAACCTGTCAAGGAAAACTTGATCGTCCACTCGGCTATGCTTGTGCTGAAGTAGCGGAACACGCACATTATGCACGATCGCGAATATATTTTAGAATAGTAGGGAATTACTTTAAATGGGGAATAATTTATATTTAGGCAAACGTTTCGGTACGACGTCATTGTGCCATAAAATTAGCATATGCGCCGGCCAGTGACGTACAAGTGCATTGTCTATATAATGCCATTATATAGTCTGCGCGCAGGCTACTAAAAACGTCGTGTACATAGAATTTTTGTACGTTGGTTCGACTTGATGTCGAATAATTTTGGCAGTAATAGGGGAAAATTTTAAGTATAATAAGATAAAATCAAGTATTTTAAGTTCAAGTATAATAAGATAAAATTTCAAGCATGTATTGTGCGTGTCCTTAGCTCGGTTGAACAAAACATAACAACAAATTCTTCATTCCTATTGTGTTCATACTACACTGAGCAGAAAAGCGATTACAGTGCGTGCCTAACATACAGAATACAGCAATCACATTTGTATGCTTTTGATTGCCTATATTCTTGCTTGTGGATGTGATTTTGAGACGCTTTATTCACCTTAAAACGAAAATATAGTTTTTACACTGTTCCGAAATGCTTAAAATAACAACAGTCAAATCGCGCATTTATAGACTTCCGACGCATAGCGCGCGGTTTATTCTATATTTGCGCGCGAGCATGTACGAAGTATCGACGAAATATAATCACCTACTCAAAACGACAATGTAATTAACGTACCTTTGTTTCTAAAAAGAGTTGCAATCCAGTAAATGATACGAAGTAAATGCGTCAAATCTCGTCTTTCGAGTGCTTTGTATTATTTTGCTATTTGGAAATTTGAACGCGGAAGAAAGTATAAGGTTACTCGTTATCAACTTCCCTTTCAGCACAAACTTTTCCTGTCATTTTCTTTTCAAATTCATTTTATTTGCCTTTAATACAAGGCTCGGACTCCCATCCATCAATGTAAAGAATAATAATTACTTTTCACTGCCGATTGACCATAATCAAATATTGCACGACAATTCTCTCTTGGTATAAAACTTGCAATGGAATTTCAAATTTAAAACATTTACTTTGAAAGAATTCTTCCCAGACAGTAACTTAAGGCCACCCATTGCGTTTCATCGCTGCTTCCGTTCATGTGCTGTATCCTGTAAGACCAACTCTAAGCTGGAAACCTATAGATTTAATAAATGATTTATTAAATTACTTTTAAAGGTTTAAAAGGCATGTTACCGAGAGTACTATGAATAACGAGGATTATCAACTGCGCAGTACCAAATTGAAATTCCATCTTCCAAATCCTAAAACAAATTCCTTAAAGAATCGGACAAACTAGTTTCATGTCGTGGAGCAGTATTTTGGAATAATATTTCAGTGAACATTTTTAATCAAATGGATGAGATGACTAGTTTACCAGCTGTTAATAAACTATTAGAATCAATCTTTTAAATAACTGTATTTTAGCTCATTCTACCGCATCATGTTTTGCACTAAAAACGCCACTTTTTATCAGCCCTTTCATCCCACTTTCATCTCATATTTTCCTTCTTCTCAGCCAACTAAAGGCGTCGCAACTCGCTCAGGACGATCTGATCTCTAAAGAGAAACATAGACTGGATGCATTTCGGAATGTCGTAAACGAGGTACAACGGAAAGGTTAAAAATGAGACTAGAAGCCCCCTTCCCCCTCCCTAGATTTTTTTCACAGTTGAACAAAGAATATGACATGTTGGTGTATTTGTTTCGCGAAGACTCGCAAGAATGTAAGGCGACATGTAAGAAGTATTCTGACGTCCAAATAAGGTATGGAATAATTCACACCAATTTTGTATTATGAATCGATTGTATGAATAGAAAAAACAGAAAGTTAGACTATTATTTCTTTCAAACTTTTCCAGGAAAAGAACTGGATGTAAATTTGAATCTTGGCGTCGATGTCCTCCATACACTTCGTAATAAAACACTCCTGCTCGTTTATTAAACAGTACGTATAATACTCATACTTAAACCTCTAAATATAAGCCCCCCCGTATTCACTAACACTAGGGTCATTCCGAATATAATCCCCCCCAGATATAAGCTTCTGGGCTTATTATTGGACAGGTATTAAGGCAGCTATTAGGTCAGAACGATCTGTGCTTAGGGACCGCTCATTATTTATTGTACAGGGGGGGATTGAGGAGAAACTGGGGGGGCCTTTAAATTTTTCAAAACCTGAAAGGGGGGGCTTTGAAAAAATACAGAGAGACGAAAGAGGGGGGGCTTTGAAAATATTTACCAGTTTGAAAAAACAGTAGTTTTAAAAATGTATCACAAAACAACTTAACAACAAATAACAATATTTATAGACTATAATATTCATAAATGGAAGTCAAATAAAAAGTCTCTCGTGTTCATGTAAATAGACAATTCCCATTATAGACTAATTTTAGAACTAGGCAAAGAGATGCAAATCAAGGCCGGATTTTGGTGAAAATAGTGGGGAAGTGGACAAAAATTTTAGGAGAGGTGCAGCGGTCTAGCTCACAACTCCCATGGAAAGTTAGGGCCTATTGTAGAACAGGCCAATATCAACGAGGTGAGGTATACATGTAGTGTACATAATATGTACCAGTGTATTAATGAATTATGAATGTATGACTCCAATCTTGCCCTTCATTACAATTGCTACACTGTTCCTTTCAAAACATTGCATTAAAAGGGTGCTTGACATGGCTATCACTGTTTCAATTTTACAGAGAAAACTTTCTTATGTCACAAAGTGTAGATCCTAAGCAACCATCACATTTTCACTTTGTTCCATCATTGAAACTTTCCCAAGGGGAAGTGCATGACCTTTCAAGAGAGGTGGAAAAATTCTCAGGGGAGGTGCAAAACGATCTCTGGGGAGGTGCGCACCTCTCCACACCTCCCCTCAAAATCCGGCCTTGATGCAAATAAATCACCACAGCTAGAAAGAGCATACTAAAATAAGTAAATTATTGCAAAGTTTGGTTGCGAATTGTTGCAAAATACGGAAAATATAGCCTTGCAAAGTTTGCAAATTTTGTACACTTTTGTATTGCATGCGAAAATTGCAATTATACAAAAGAATACAAAATTTGCAAACTTTGGAAGGCTATATTATCTACATATTTTACAACATTTTGCAACCAAACTTTGGAATTTTACTAATTTTAGTATGCCCTTCCCGGGAATATACTTTTTTGCTAAGATAAAAAATTAGTCTATAATGGGAATGTCTATTGGTCCCCATTACCTATTTTTCTTTCTCTAAAATAAACAGCTAGAGTTTTTGTTTCTCTAAATAAAGATAAAGAGCTAGAGGGGGGGGGGCAAAACTTATGTTCTTGTTTTGCTTGTTGGGGGGGGGGCTTTGAAAATTTTACTTGTCTTAAGAGGGGGGCAACGAAAAAATATTATAACTGTAGAGTTTCTCCTCAGTCCCCCCCTGTACAATAAATAATGAGCGGTCCCTTACCAACATCGGTAGTAATAAAAAAAACAGAGAAATGCATATGCATGAATATGGACTTGTATTTGTCAGGTATTTGAGTTCATAATCATTTACATTTCTCCTATTAGGTCAGGCCTGTACAATTTTCCAAGCTAAATAATTATACACTTTATTTTCATAATAATCGATCGCGCAAACCACAAAAAATTAATGAGTGTTTGAAATAGTACATAGGCATTTGAACATACTGGTGAATCACTTATTTTGAAAGTAGACTAGCTTTAGAGTTATATATTTTTTAAGCAAAAAAGGTTAATCAAACTCGTTATAAACTGAATTGAATCCAAGATTGTTAATGAATAATGTTTCAAAATCGTTATCACTGTGTTTCAAAATAATTTATTTCGAAAACTAGACTAGATTTAGACTTGTATATATATTTTTAAAGCAATAAAAGTTAAACTCGACATAAACTGAATTGAACCCATAATTACCCATTGTTATAAGGCGTAAAAAAAATACCTGTGGTTCCGGTTCCCGACCGACCCTATTTTTTTCTGCCGACCCTATCAGTTTTTCAACGCGATTGACCGTGCGACCCTATTTTCTCCAGGTGGTTGCGGGCTGCTCATACAGCGTGCCAAAATGCAATCTCGTTCCCAGAGTATGCCTGTTCGCGGGTTAGGTAGTGGCATGCCACTACCTAACCCACGAACAGGCATGCCACTACCTAACCCGCGAACAGGCATACTCTGGGAACGAGATTGGCCAAAATGGCGTCTGTTGTCACAATAATTATTGAACCAAATTGCCTAAATTCGTCCATAGGAAATACGCATCTCTAGTTAATATTGATGTCGGGACTCTACTGCAAATCGCCCAGCAGAAAACCGCGAAAGCCATGAAAAAATATTCAAAAAAAAAATTTATTTCCGATCTACCGACCCTAATTTTTTCACGATATGAAACCGGAACCGCAGGTATTTTTTTACGCCTAATGTTTCAAAATCGTCATCATTGTGTTTCAAAAAACTATAGTAGATTTAGAGTCATATATTTTTAAGTAAAAAAGTTAAGCTCGATATAAAACAGAATTGAACCCAGCATTTTGTTATTGTTTCAAAATCGTTTCGCTGATCCAGGCCGAGTAATGGCCAACTTTGGTGAACAATGAGTACTTCGAGTCATCTGTGCATCCTTCGTTAACTTTCATCACTCCAACCAGCGTCCAACTATCATCGATGAGTTTTACCTGATAAAAAAGTTTTAAAAAATTGCATTACAAACGTAAAAATCTCACAACTTGTCAACAAGATGTGTTCGCAACAGGCATGTATAGCAAGCATGTCAGCAAGTTGTAACAATTCTGTTATTTGAGGGACAGACAGTGCGAACACATTCCGATATGGGTTTGACAAAAACGTTGCTACAAGTTGGTTGTAGATCTGTAATAACTGTAATAGCGCGTTTTTACATGTGATGGTCTCCCTTGGTCGAGTCCCCATCCGACGGCACTGCTTAAAGTAGTCACTTACCACTACAGGTCCACCAGTATCCCCCAAACATTCATCAACACAATCATCTTGACTACTGCCACAAAACACGTTTCCTTTCAATCTCTTAATGTTTGATTTTTCCCGACATTCTCTGTCCGACACAAACTTAATGACCGTCTGTTGAGGTTCATCAAACGCTGGGATTGTCACGCTGTTGCTTTTGGTCTGCAATGTCGTGAGATTGAATAATATTAATATAGTAAGCCATATTGTTATACAAATAATGAACATGATGGGTGCCATGGTAAGCACTATTTACAACACTAGCGGCCGTATTGTATCGGGCACACAAACTTGAGCCGAAGGCAAGTTTGTATATCGGATACAACACGGATGCGAAACGGCTTGTGAAACCTAAATAATAATAATAATAATAATAATAATAATGATAATGATAATAATTTATTATTTATATTGCGCAAATATCCATATGTATATATAATCAAATGCGCAATGTAATGCACACGTAAATAGTGTGTGAAACGTCTGCACACGTAAATAGTGTGTGAAACTTAACGTCTTAGCTTGGTGAGGAGAACATTCGTATTCTTCAACAATTTAAAATACATGAATTATATTTGGTGAGAATATTGAACTTAAAGTTGTTTTTTTATGACAAGCATTTCCTCGTCTCTATGGGTAACTTTGCCAACTTTTACTATAACAAATATACTTGTTCAAAAGCTAGTGCATTAGCTTTTTGTAATTACCTCCGCCAGGAGGTTATGTAATCATCTGGGTTTTTACCTCCGCCAGGAGGTTATGTAATCATCTGGGTTTGTTACCTCCGCCAGGAGGTTATGTAATCATCTGGGTTTGTATGTGTGTGTGTGTGTGTGTATGTGTGTGTGTGTATGTGTGTGTGTGTGTATGTGTATGTGTTTGTCTGTGAGCACGATAACTCAAGAAATACCAAACATATCCGTACGAAATTTTTTGAATGCATTTCCCATCGGCTAAGGAAGAACTGATTAAAATTTGGTTGAATTTGGTTAAAAATTGAACGAGAAATGAACAAAATTTTGTCTTGCTTTTCCCGGTCAATTAACAAAAAATATTACTGAATGCGTAATTAGGACATGTATAATTTATGCACTCAGTGCTAAGACAATAATGAGATGATAAACCTCATTAAGCTTCGGCCTTCATTATCTATTGTCTTAGTTGCATTTCACGCGACCGAAATTCAATGTCTAAAACAAGGCTTACGGAGTTACGCATTATTACGTTCAGCAAAGTGCCAGTCCATTCAAATTCTAACAACATTAGATTACTTCAATACAGGGTGTATAAAAAGAACGCAACCTTGGAATTTCCCAAGAAATCGACATTGTTTTAAAGACAAAAGATTTTAGCTGCCGGGGAATTTAAAATAGCACAACTGTGAAAATTACTGCACGCGCGAGTGCATAAAGCAAAATTTATGCATTATTTAATGACACTTAATAAGTTTTTATTTTACAAGTACTGTACAGCACAACAACAGTAATATGTTCTATTAGCAATTCGATTTCAATTCGCGGGGGCCTGAAATCTTTTATGCTTAAGAATTGTAAAGTGGATTTCTTAGGAAATGCCAAGGTTGCCTTTCACTTCCGAGTAACGGGCGGAGGTATGCAGTCTCTGAGTGCCCTCTAGTTCTTTCTGTAATTGGACCAATTTTGTAATTCTTCACAACTGAGGAGAAACATTTGGGGGAGGGGACGTAACCTCGTAAAATATACCAAATCGGTGGTTTTCAAATTATCATAAGACGTATCTAAAATGCATTAAATAGCGTTTCGGAGACCCTAAAAATTGAACAATATTCCAGGGACCATGCCCCCGGACGGCTGGACACCCTAATTCGACGATTGCCCCCTCCTCCTTACCTGTTTCTTTGATCCCCAGCCAGTAACGACGCCATATTGTGTAGGCCAGGTTAAAGAGCTGTTTGACTCATTGTTATAACATACAGCATGCACATAACTTGTTGGTTTGATGGGATATTGAAGTTTAACCATCGCTATGTCATCACTTCTATTTTTGCCAGATTTCGAAGGGCGAATTAGTTTCACTACTTCGTAAGTTTGCTCGGTGCCCGCGTCGTCAAAACGATTGTGCTCGCCTGAAACAAACATTAGCTAGAAATTACGTTTCCTACAGTGAATAATGCAATATTGTATCTGTGACCGTTGTCTGATTATTGGAGTGTTTTTCAAAGATGGCTTAGGTCTAAACTGTAAAGATGTATATAATTTTCGCTCGAAATTCCCATCTTCAAAAAACTTTTCAACATAAGTTCTATGGAGCTGAGATGTCCCTGGCATCACTTGTGTATTTACCAAAATTTATAATTTGCAAATATGTACAAAATTTGCGAACTTCACAGGGCTACATTTTCTTCATTTTACAATATTTAACAACCAATCTTTGCAGTTTTACTCATTCTAAGACGCTCGTTCTACCTGTGGTATTGGATTTCGTTCTTCTTGCCTTGATCAAAATTTAGTCTATAGCTGAAATCACCCATTTTCGTTCGAACTTCTATCGAACAAAAATTAGTAACAATGACTAACAATAACTCACCCAAAACAACTCTAATAGTATGTCCTTTTAGATTTGTAAACATTTTCTTGTCAAAGCAACTGGCAGCAGTTAAAACCCAGTTGTCTGCGACCAAAGCTCCCCCACATTTGAAAGCTGCATCCACATAAATAATTGCTTGCCATGGCCAAGCGTCGTCCTTTGATAGTTTACGATTTGGAGTCGTTAAATTATCACGTAACCTTGTGTCACCTGCCTGTCCGCATTCCCATTTATCTGGGAAATATAAAATCAGTGTTGATTATTAACCGTAGTCTTCGCTATGTTGTTGTTACTGTGCCTCTTTGTGCTGATGCTGTTACTGTAGTTGTCTTTACAAGGTTACTGTTATTGTTGCTCTTCATGTTTTGTTGCTGCTGTTGTTGTTGTCGTTGTTGTGGTTGTTGTTGTTGTTGTTGTTGTCGTTGTTACTGTCGCTGTTGTCGTTGTTGTTGTTGTTGTTGTTGTCGTTGTTGTTGTTGTCGTTGTTGCCGTTGTTGTCGCTGTTGTCGTTGTTGCCGTTGTTGTCGTTGTCGTCGTTACTGTCGTTGTTGTCGTTGATGTTGTTGTTGTTGTTGTTTCTGTTGTTGTTTCTGTTGTTGTTGTTGTTGTTGTTGTTGTTGTTGTTGTTGTTGTTGTTGTTGTTGTCGTTGTTACTGTCGTTGTTGTCGTTGTTGTTGTTGTTGTTGTTGTTGTTGTCGTTGTTGCTGTTGTTGCTGTTGTTGTTGCTGTTGTTGCTGTTGTTGTTGTTGTTGTTGTCGTTGTTACTGTCGTTGTTTTCGTTGTTGTTGTTATTGTTGCTGTTACTGTCGTTGTTGTCGTTGTTGCTGTTGTTGTTGTTGTTGTTGTTGTTATTGCTGTTGTTGTTGTTGGTGTTTTTGCTGTTGGTGTCGTCGTCGTCGTCGCTGCTGCTGTTGTTGTTGCTGTTGTTGTTGCCGCTGTCGTTGTTGTTGTTGTTGTTGCTGTTACTGTTGTTGTTGTTGTTGTTGCTATTGTTGCTGCTGCTACTGCTGCTGCTGTTGTTGTTGCTACTGCTGCTGTTCGGTGTTATTGTTGTTGTTGTTGTTATTATTTTTGCTGTTGCTGTTGTTATCACTGTTGTTGTAACCTTAACTACTCAAGCAATCGTATATATCCCTTTCTATCGTTACCATATCCCGTCAAGTATAATAATATCCCATTACATCCTTACCATATCCGTTCCCGGTTATCATATCTCTGAGTTTTTCCAAGCTTGTGTAATCAGCCAACAAATGAATATGTGATCTATACGGCTGTGATGCGATGCTCTTCAACTCGTTCTGGTCTGCATTCTTTGTAATCCCAATTGCAAAAATTTCATAATTTCTCTCCCTAAGTCTTTCTGCAAAGTGTCGCGGGTTTGTCCCGGTATTCGATCGTCCATCAGTAATCAGGAATAGCACTTTGTGGCTGCCTTTCCTCGCCTCTGGAGAAACATGATGATAAACTTTGCTCAACGCTGCTTCCGTGTTCGTACCACCCCCCTGGAATTGAATGTTGCCTGTTGAGAAAAAAGAAACGCCAGATTAATAGACAAAATGTGTTCGCGCCGGAACACCTTGTTATCATTTTCTAACAAGGTTGATGAGGCCACCACACTCGCTACAAGTTGTTTCAACAAGTCTGATGTCGTCTGCACGAAACAAGTTTGTTAACAAGTTGATGACAACAAGGTCGATCGCAGAAACCTGTGACGAACAGCCTGTATTAGTCTCGTTAGAAGCTTGTGGTAAGTCTGCTACCGTCATCAACCTTCATGTAACAAGGTGGAAACAAGCAGTGCGAACACATCCTTGGCTTTAAAACAACCTTGTTACAACTTCTTTGCAGATCTGTAAGTACTGTAACAGCTTGCACGCTTTTACGTTTCAAATGTGATCATATTAGGCCACATAAAAAAATAGTTGGTTAGCGTCCCCGCCCGCCCACAAAAAAGGCCCCGCTCAGGATTTTTTTTTTATTTTTTATTTAAAAAAACACGACTTTTATTGATCAACGGGCTCTAATATATGTAGTATTTCTGTTGACTGTAGTCAATTGTGTTAATAATTTGCGAAATTGCGTGCGAAAGTGACGGTATCAATTATATTTTGAAATATATAAAAAAATATCTGTACTGCGCAAGAAAATCCAGTTTCGGACCTAACAGTGAGTAAAACCAAGGCGTTAAAAATTAGTAAAAATTAAAAAAAAAGCGCCCGCCCGCCCACTTTTTGGCGAAAGCTAAGGACGCTAACCAACTATTTTTTTTTATATGGCCTTATATATTGATCATATTATGTGCGTTTCCGCGCGAGCTCTGTTAAGTATTACAGGTTTTATCAGATTTTCTAACTAAATATAATAATTGTTTATCATATATCTTGCGGCTAAATATCTTACCCAGTTCTCGCATAGCTTGATCTGTATCATTTATAACATTAGTAGCCAAGTTAAACTTTATTTCTGCTGCGGCATTGAAAGTCACGATAGCCACTCGTGTGCCCCGTGGTTTGGTCGATACTCCGTACTCTTTGACGATCGTTTTCACCAACTCGATTCCTCGTCTGAAGTTCGTTTTACCGACGCTAGCCGAACTGTCGAGAACGAACACGAAGTCAACTCCGGAAAATGTTTCTACGGCGGGGTCTGTAGGACGATAAAAGGAAAGCTGTTAAGATTTATTGTAAACACAATATCACTTTCGCGCAGCGCATCACGGATAAATCATGCTACAGTTTGTTTAGAAATTAAATTAGCACTCATGTAAACCCAAAATGTAAACCCAAAATGTTTCAAACAGAGCAAAGAAATTTAAACGAAAAGCATTCCAATTTACTGTTTTGGGACCTGAGATGCTTGGTTTGCAAACGGTTCCAAAAATCTAACGACGTTTGTGTTGACACGAAGCCGCCAAGCAAGCGCTCCGTTTTCATCTCGCTCCGTTTAGAAACCGTGCTTAAATTATTACGACAAAAGTGACGTTTTACAAATAATTTCGCTCCGGCGATATGTATGAACGCGACGGGGTAATTGTGACTTTTTTGCGCCGTTTTCAAACCGTTTCGGCGTGAGCGTAGTTTAAACATCTAAATATTATTAATATCTTAATAAAATACATTACATCAAGACGAGCTGGCCTGGCATATTGCCTGACGTTTTAAGTGAAAATCTGCTCGACCAAAACACTCACGGGAGGCTGCAGCCTCCCCTAGCCCCTCCCCTCCCCGTTTCGTATGCCTATGGCTTTGTGGATATTCTCACCTATTTTCACACATTTTGCCCGCTTTCCACTCCACTTTCCATTTGACATGCACTTGCGTGAAATTGAACCAACCAGTTTGTAACCGGTATTACAGGAATATTTCACTCGTCGGCCATATTTGAATTTTGTTCCATCTCGGACTCCGTTCCGTGGCGTACACAGATTAGGACAGGACACATCTGCAAACAACACAAGTAATGAATTGTGACCTTCCCATGAGGCACGAGAGCCTGTAGAGGAGGCTGGGCCGAGTGCTAAACGCAATTAAGAAAAAAACCTCGATCGATCACTGAAAAGATCACCTCAAAAATTAGTGATGATGATGATTGATGATGATGATGATGATGATGATGATGATTGATGATGATGATGATGATAGTGATGATGATGATTGATGATGATGATGATTGATGATGATTGATGATGATGATTGATGATGATGATGATGATGATGATGATTGATGACGATGATTGATGATGATGATGATGATGATGATGATGATGATGATGATGATTGATGATGATGATTGATGATGATGATTGATGATGATGATGATGATGATGATGATTGATGATGATGATGATTGATGATGATTGATGATGATGATTGATGATGATGATGATGATGATTGATGATGATGATTGATGATGATGATGATGATGATGATGATGATGATGATGATGATGATGATGATGATGATGCAACAACCTGAAAGGAGAATTTCGATGTTTCGAGCCTTTCGCCTGGAGTTACTGTATTACCTTTTAAACATCGTGGTACATGACCACTCCACTTCCCTGTAGCTAAACACGTGAGTTTCTTTGGTCCCATGATGTTATACCCAGACGAACAACTGAACTTCACCACGGCATTCACCCCCCTTCTTCCTCGTATTTTACCATGTTTTAAGTTCCTCAGCCTTTTACATTTCACCTGGGGTGGGGGTGTTGCCTTTGCTGCAAGAAAAACAAAGTTTAAGTTAGACTCAGTTATACACTCGATTCTCCGAGTTCGTGGGTTCGATTCTCGGGCTCATAATCAGTGAAAAGAGTCCGCCAATGCTCTGCCGAAAGTCTTGGGTTTTCTCCGGGTGGTCCGGTCTCCCACATAAGGGAAAGTTGACAGGGTGGGTTAGGATAAACACAGTTAAGAAAGTAATATCACGATTGTTGTATAAAGATAAAATAGTAATGGTCGATCATTTGGACTTACGTATACAGACAGGTGTTGTACCGCTCCAGGATCCTGATATACATATACGTAATGAACAGCCCACCAACTGACTGTTATTCTTACATCGGAAAAACAGCCAATCACCGTGCTTGTATGACGCCTGTACTGTCGTCCCACTTTTCTCTGAGGCCAAAATGTACAGCAGTGACGTCATGTTAGGCGATGTGCAGTTATCTACAGTTTGTGAAATCAAATACGAACATGTATAAGAGGGGATTGCCAAAATATAAGTAATTGTTTTGTATAAATTGTTTTATTGTCTGACGTTTCGGTTTCCTATAATACAGAATCATTTTCAGAAAAATATCCAATTACTGTGGAATCCCACCTTACGACCACCTTGTTGTGTGTAATACGGTCACTTTTTTGCCCGGCTAAACGGCTATACATATTTTCTTATAAAAATATCCCGTTAATGCGACGGCCACTCGCGCTAAATCTAGAAAAGCAGAACGATAATAGGAACGACAATAGGAACGATAATAAGCTGAGTCTGTTCTTGTTTTGTTTAGTTGCATTTGTGACGGTTTTTTAGCCGACTCCTAAAAGAATCGTTTGTGAAGTTTCAAGTATTTTTTACAATTACATTCACCCCATGTTTAATGATTCAAAAGCTATGTAAAAAGTGGTTTATTATGGCAATGAGAACGGTAACTTAAAACCACTTGTAGCCCTTGCGGTAAAAGTCAACCTTACGTACTTTGGGCGGCCACGCCAGCAACGCACAAACACACAAACGTTGTGACCATAAGTCGTAAAACATTCGACATCTTATAACCTACAAAAGTAAAAACATTTTTGTAGTGGCAAGTTAAATTAAAGCCCCGTACGGGTCAGCAACTTCTCCTTGACATGTTTTGCTTGCTTGTATGTACAGCAAAAAACTGACAATTTTTCCTTGCCAAAGAGCGGAGCCTTGTTCCGAAGCTATTCATGTCAGCTTTTGGACAAGGAAAATTTGTTCGTGTGTATGGCCGCCAAAGAAGACTTGAGAGATGTGCAAGAAATACTTTTATGGTTTTGGCAAACAAAAGGAGACCTTGAGGTGAGATAAATGTTGAAGAACATTCCAAGAAAACTTGTTTAACGTACACACGAGAAGGTAAACCTGTCAAAGAAGCTTGTCAAGGAAAACTTGATCGTCCATACGGGGCTATGCTTGTGCTGAAGTATGGACACGCACATTATGCACGAATATATTTTAGAATGGTAGGGAATTACTTATAATTAAATGGGGAATAAATGAATAATTTATATAGGCAAACGTTTCGGTACAACGTCATTAACATATGCTCCGGCCCGGTGACGTACATGTGCAATGTTTCCAAAAACGTCGTGTACATAGAATTTTTGTACGTTGGTTCGACTTGATGAATTTTAAAAATAATAGGATAAAATCAAAGGAACTAGGGAGTACAATTTCAAGCATAGTGTGCCCGCCTTTAATTAGCTGATGAACAAAACATAACAACAAATTGTTCAAAATTCCTATAGTGTTCATACTACACTGAGCAAAAAAGCGATTACAGTGCCTAACATACAGAATAGAACAATCACATTTGTATGCTTTTGATTGCCTATATTCTTGCTTGTGGCTTTCCATTTGGTCGTTAGTTGTCGCTGACACGACAAGCGGTAGATGTGAAATAGTCTAATATAATAATAGTCTTTTTGTATGATATGCAAATCAGTCTTAATGATTGCAGAGTTTTATAAAGTTTTGTTGACACTCTATTATATCAGCCACTTGTCGTGCCAGCGACAACTAACGACCAAATGGAAACTAGGCTTTACATCGAAAATATAGTTTTTACACAGTTTCCAAATGCTTAAAATAACAATAGTCAAATCGCGCATTTATAGACTTCCGACGCATAGCGCGCGGTTTATTCTATATTTGCGCGCGAGCATGTACGAAGTATCGCCGGACGGACGAAATGTAATCACCTACTCAAAACGACAATGTAATCAACGTACCTTTGTTTCTGAAACGAGTTGCAATCCAGTAAATGATATGAAGTAAATGCGTCAAATCTAGTCTTTCGGAGTGCTTTGTATTATTTTGCTATTTGGAAATTTGAACGCGGAAGAAAGTATATAGGGTTACTCGTTAATCAACTTCCCTTTCAGCGCAAACTTTTCATTTCAATTTCTTTTCAAATTCATTTTATTTGCCTTAAAATACAAGGCTCGGACTCCCATCCATCAATGTAAAGAATAATGATTACTTTTCACTGCCGATTGACCACAATCAAATATTGCACGACAATTCTCTCTTGGTAAAACTTGCAATGAAATTTCAAATTTAAAACATTTATACTTTGAAAGAATTTTTCCCAGACAGTAACTTAAGGCCACCCATTGCGTTTCATCGCTGCTTCCGTTCACGTGCTGTATCCTGTAAGACCAACTCTAAACTGGAAACCTATAGATTTCATAAATGATTTATTAAATGACTTTTGAAGGTTTAAAAGGTATGTTTTTGTGAGTGGTTGGGTAAAACAAATCTTTGCCAGAACTTAAGAGCCCCTAGATTCAAATTATTTGGGGGAACACCCCCTCCCTACTCCCGCACACAGATTATCCCATGCAGGTAAAAAATCCTTTGACACCCCCCAGTCAAACACCCGTTCCTTTCGTAACATCCCTATATGTGCAGTTCTAAATTTTTCTTAAAATAAACCCTGTTTCAGTTAATCTTTGTAATACAATCAAGAAAAGGTTGAGTCAAATTTTGTGTCATATAAACAAAAATAGTTTAGTCTGTTTTATATGAGATGATGTCATTATTGGTAGGGTAATGATTACTGTGGCCAAGTTGGATTGAATTGTTGATTTTTCAAATTTCAATTACATACTTATTATTTATCGGCCTAAGTTTTAAGGTGAAGTGTTGATTCAAATATAAAATAGTTGTGAGAACCTTTTACAAAGCCAAGTAGCTATTTTAAATATATCAATCCGCGTTGAATACCTGTGTTCTTAGCAGTCCGCTAGTCGCTAATCCGTGCTGTCGCGTTCCGCGACCGTAGATAACCCGAAATTCATTTTTCAACCCTCCCCCCCGAAATTGATTCTGGTTTGAAAACAGGATTAAATGTCCGAAGCAAATTTACAAATATTATCATATAATTGTGGAACCACGTCACATTTTGGCGTAAAAATGACGGGAAACTCTCGGGAAAGAGCGCTCAAACCTATCAGAAGTGAACACACACTTCCCGATTTAAATTTAAGGTGGAATTTTGACGAATTATGTTTTTTAAGAGGGCAGCAGATCGCATTTTAAAATGGCGAGTAAAGTTGGTCGTTGCATACAGTTGTGGTTGATGCTTCTCCTGTGCTGGTAAGCGAGAGATAGTTCTTATATACTCCGAGTCGTTTGAAAAACTACTTTAAAGAGAGAATATATATAAGTACGTTGTGTGTTTTGGACGCTCTGTTTTGTACAAATTGTCGCCAACATGTTTTGTGTTTTTGCTTCAAAATTTTAGGTTTGTGCTTCGTAGCGACCCTGTTTCGCAAGACCCCGAATCGGAGAGCGAAAATTTATCAACTGAAAAGGTATATTTAAAGCCAATTTGACCCGTCTAATGTGTCGTTTGAAATAATTTATAAGCATCAACGATTCACTGAGATTTTAGGCGTGCTTATGCGGTTTGCGGTTGTGAACTGTGCTTGAATTCTCGTGGTTTTTATACCAAACCTTATAATATATTATTTTGTCAAAGTTATTAATCAAATTGTAACATGATCTTGCTTTTCCAACGTCTGGTTTTATATAAACATTGACTTTTGATTTGGCATTCAAGTGTTCTCTTTGACATGTTGCTTAAAATCGAATGATATGTTTTGTTTGACTTTTAAAATCAATATCAGTAGTCATTGATGATATTTTAAAACCTTTGCAACATGTGTTGATATTAAAAACCCCGATATTCTTTATAAAGTACAGTTTATTTGGAGGCTAATGTTTAACTGGGAGACATGTCAATTAGCAGGTGGGATTCAATATTATTAGATCTATAATGTCAATCATTATCACAAAAACATGTCATCATATGGTTGGCTGGTTTCTTGAAGCTGGTCAAGCCTGATTTAACCTTGTTTTATTTCAAATATTGGGTACCGTACTTTACACTGTACCGTATCGCAAGTATTTGATGGCGTGTGTGCTGATGGTCTTTCCGTTCTTTTATTGGCGTGTTTTGATGGTGCATGTATTCGGTGATTACTCTGGTACGGTAAAGTGTAAAATTTCCCAAATATTAATAATGCTGTGCACAGGAAATTTGTTGACAAAAACATTAATGGTTTTGAAGATGGGAGATAATACTAATCCTTTTTTAAAATCCATCAATGGACAACTCAAGGCAAATAATTACCATTACTGTCGTTCCAATTGAAGTGTTGCTCAAATATTGATTCAATACATTACCTCGGGCTGACCAATTCATTTCATCAAGTTCCTCGAGATATTCATACACTTCCTAGTATAATTGTAAACTTCCTGTTGAATAGTTTGAATGCACCAATCACCTTTGTTGTTTGTGCAACTAACCAATCATAAATAGAAAGAAAGTGACCAGAAATGATCAAATACTTGGAATTGGCTCTTTCACAGGAAGTGTATGAATATCTCGAGGAACTTGATCAAATGAATTGGTCAGCCCGAGGTAATGTATTGAATCAATATTTGAGCAACACTTCAATTGGAACGACAGTAATGTTTTTTTTTAAAACCATTAATGGTTTTATTGATATTAACATAATGGTAATCATAATTTTACCATGAACGATATTGTTGGTTTGTTCTATATCACTTGATGGTGATTATAGTTTTTACCATGAATGATAAGAATGGGTTTTACTTATATTACATAATGTTATTTGCTGTGAATATTGATGCGAATATTTCCAACAAAATCTATATTGGAGGTATTCAAATGAAATCACTTAATGGGTACATTAATGTGAATCAAAATTCCGACAATTTGCAGAAAAAGAACATTGCTGAAAATTGTGTATTGTTTTCAACAATTTGAATGGTTTTAATGAAAGTACATTTTGAAAAAAATAAACCATTAATGGATTATTTTTTCACATTAACTATGTTACCGTATTGAATTTGTAAATGGGAATTATCAATATACCATATTATAGAAATTCCATTCATAGGTTTTTTAATTTTTAAAACAAAAAGACACCCTTGTGTAATGATGCTTAACCCTCTAAGTGGCAATGCGCCTAGATGTGCCCTACTTTATTATTTTACTCTGTCTAATGCCAGACGATTTTACTTGTCAGGGGGAGAGTGCTACCACTCAGTGGGTTAATCAGACCATGGATTGTAAAATAACTGGATAGGAAACTTCCTGACGTCACAGTCTATTAAACCTAGTTGCAATCTGTGACGTTACGTGTATTGCCAAAGTTATCGGCATTTTTGTTGTTTTCGCTATATTTTCCGCTTTAAAAGAGTAATATTGAAGCATAAACTGGTCTAATTGTTTTAAAAACATGCCTAAGCCACGATAAAGTATTCAGGGTAAATGTTTTTCATCTTCGTTTTGTATTTTTTTTACATTTGTAGCTACGAAATTGGCATCGCCAATTTTAACAAAATTCGCGGTGCATTTTTCACTGCTTGAAATTGACCAGGAATACTTAGAGATTTTATCGTAGAATGGCCTAGTTATATTTATCTGCTCTTTGACTAAAATGCTTATCTGTATTATCGCTAAACATGCCGTTTAATTTTGAGAATTTGGTTTGCAACTAGGTTTCAACGCCATCATCCCATTGAAAACATTAGGTCATGTCAGCTAGTTTCCTATCCATGTATTTTATTATCCATGATCAGACTATCTGCCCATGCACCCTGTTAACCCTTTAAGTGGCAATGTGCCCCACCTTATTATTTTACTCTGTCTAATGCCAGATTATTTTACTCGTCCTGGGGGGAGAGTGCTGCCACTCAATGGGTTAATATTATAATTCTAGGTGAATCTTGGCTTCACTGAACAAGTGGTAACCCCTCCTTTGGTTTCAATCCATCACACAGAAACCATAATTCCAGACATCTTGGATCAAAATACTCTAGTGACAAGACCTGCTATTGCGCCAGCCACGCCTTGGGATGACACTCAAATACTATCAACTGTCTCAGAACAAGGTGCAAAACCTGACTCTTCCACGGAACGTGAAATTATAACTGAGGAACGAATCCCTGACACAAGTCCTTTTGAAAACCTCAAGGAAGCACTGTCTTCAGATGACATTGGAAAAGATGGACCAGAGGTGCAATGTTAATAATTATGTTATTACAGTCGATTTCACAAAACATTTGCCAAAATGTTACCAAGTTCGTTCTGAAGTTCGTTCTGAAGTTTGTTCTGAAGTTCGTTCTGAAGTTCGTTCGAGGTATAGATGTTTTCTGGAATGACCCAATGGTACCAAATGAATATTATGTCTCTTTCTAGGTGGATAATTCTGGTAATGTTGCTGAAGATGATATCAAGAAACTAATTAAAAGTTTAGATCCAGTGGAAATTGTTAATGAGAGGGAAGATCTCCCGTCAGAAACTGTTGTTCACAGTAGCGAAACTGATGGTGAAGTAGAAAATATTGAAAACACCAAAAAGGAGGATGCAAGTGAAGGTCAAGCAAGAATAGAGAATGACTCACCTGAAACAGAACAATTCAAGTATGTGCAATGATTAACTTCAAAGCGTTTCCTGGGACCAGGGGGCGATTGTGCAAAGGCATGTAGTAAAACACTGACTACCGGAACACCGGAACACCGCTGGAACACCACCGGAACACCACCTAACCCTAACCCCAACCCTAACCCCCAACCCTAACCCTAACCCCAACCCTAACCCCCAACCCTAACCCTAACCCCAAACCCTAACCCCAAACAAAATGGTGGTGTTCCGGTGTTCCGGTGGTGTTCCGGTGTTCCGGTAGTCAGTGTTTTACTACATGCCATTGTGCAAAGGCCGTACGCTATCCGCCAGATAGTGAATTTTTCAAACTTTCTAAAATTATCCATTTATTGTAACTTAATGTGTTAACCTAAGGTTGCTGCTAAATACGGTAGGTATCCTGAGCAAAATTAATTTCTTTACAGAATTCCTGACAATGAGGTGACAACATCTACAAGCAACCACAACGTAGATAAGCTACCATCACAACCTGATGAATTACCAGATGAACATGTCCACTATGAGGACTCTACAGGGCCACAGGACGTTGAAGGTAATGTAATGTAATGGTTTTGTTAACCCATTAAGTCTCCACACTCTCCCTTTGATGAGTAAAATCATGGTAGAAATTAAGGTTATGTATAACCTTAACCATGATTCACTCGTGCATTAGGACTGGCAGATATATATTCAATTTAAGATGTCCAAAAAAAGCGTGGTGACCCCCAATTTTTTTTCGTACATTATTTTACTTCGACGAAAAGCTAACAATTAGAAAAATATAAAAAAATTCTGTATGTAAAATTCAGAATTTTTTTATTTTTTGTATAAAGAAAGTTTTTAGCGGTGCAATACAGCATGCAAAATTTGAACATAGGTCACCAGACAAAATAAAGAGATATAGCACATTGTTTTTCTAAAATGGAAAATTCTAATGACGTCAGCAATTGACATAAAACGCTATAGAACACGCGCAATGGCGTGATATGGCGCGAGCAACTGCTCACGTCAGGTCATTTTGGAAGTTCTTTCATTTTGTTAATCAGTTTCCGCGACATGCGCGTAAAAATGGTCACCCGGTTTTGAGTTTGCGATTCTTGAGCAGGGTTTTTGTGATAACTATATGGAGCCACCTTAAGATGCCCATTCTAACATGTACATTCAAGATGTCATGGATATTCATGTCCAATTTAAGATGTCCATTCAAACATGTCCAGCTGAAATACATCATGCCGAAATACATCATGCCAATGTAAAAAAAGAAAAAATTTTACTTTGTCCATTGTCTGAGAAAAATTTTATAAATGTCCAACCAATTTTTGTCTTGGCCGGACATTTGTCCTTCCAAATAAATTCATTATTTGCAGACCAGCCCAAACCATTATCAATCTTGCTACCTTGATGTTCCATGTAATTATGTATTCACAATAACATGTTTTTAAAATATGTATACTAGCTACAGCTGAGGATCTTGGCAGTACACCTGAGGATCTTGAAGGTACACAGGAGGATATGCCTTCCTTTAACGAATGGAGTCAGAAATTCCTCGCCCAGGAAGAGGAGAAAAAAGTGGCACAAATTAACGAGAAAGGAAGCCTTGACCCTAGCACCCAACAAAAGAAAAAGATCATCGATCACAAACAGAACAATTATGCCTCTGTAGACTGTGGGGCCAATATCCCAGAGAAGAACCAGGAGGCCCGAAATCCAAACTCAATTCTGCTGGAAAACAAAGATTTATACATGTTGAATCCGTGCAGCGCTAACGTATGGTTTATTGTTGAACTCTGTGATCATGTTCAGGTTACATCGTTACAGCTTGCGAATTTTGAAATGTTTTCATCGACCATTGAGAAATTTCAAGTGTCGTTTAGTACCAGATATCCTACACGAGAGTGGAGTCCAGTGCAGGAATTTGTTGCCAAACCAGAGAAAACCATACAGACGTTCACGATAGATCCAACTTTTGCCAAGTACATGAAGGTAGGGTGATAGCTATCTTTACTTGCAGTTGAGAGTTAAGCTGAATTGCGAAGGAATGCATTTAACCTGATCTAGTTGAAGCCAAAATTAACTTGTTTGCCAATAACAGTAGTAAGACTTCGACAACTTAAGCTTGTTTTCCACTTCACTATTTCGCTCGCCACCCCGCGCGCACGATTACATTAAAATATAATTTCCGGTTCACTTTTTATACATTACTCTGATTCTCCATTTAACAGACGAGCCTCTTGTCCTGGACTAAGGTACATTTTAATTTACGTCAGACAAAGCTACAGTTCGGTCGGACACCAATACACTCAGGCCGGACAAACAATAAACCTCAGTTTCACTTAGATCGGACAGAATGTCTGGCGGTTTCCTCTCTACGTCAGACAATTTTACGAATGGGTCCGACAATGTCCGTGACCGACCGATATTTTAAGGCCTGGAGTTGAAGGCTTTCAAAGGCGCCCGCCCCCTTCCCCCAGTCTCGTACGCCTATGGTGAATTAGCTGATTTCATAATCTGTTTTCATTGCAGGTAGAGCAGCTAAGTCACCACGGCTCAGAACATTACTGTCCTTGGAGTTTACTTCGCGTCTATGGTAACAGCATGGTTGAGGAATACGAAGAGCATGAATCATCACAAGACGGCAACCCCAGTGGTATTGACGAAGATCTGAATACTTCATCTAACACCACTGAAGATAAACAAATTCCTCAAGGCATTCTTAAAAGTGCCACCGATGCTGTATTGAATTTTGTCAAAGAAACGGCCAAGAAGCTTGTAAATACGGAAGACAATACGAACTCGACCAGTAATACAACAAATACCACCAAGTATCGGGAAGATAACTCTACCCAACCGCTGCCACCAAAGACTATCGTCCAACTTATGCCACGCGAGGATTATGAAGCCAGTTGTCATGAAGATAATGACGAAACTCCCACCACGTGTTTGTCAGGAAGCGAGTGCGGCTCAACGGAGTCTATCCCTCATTCTCATCAGGCTTTTCTGGAGGTTGTCCGTAACATATGCGGCCGAAATATGAAGAGTGCCGAGGCTTGTCTTAATAAATTTAATATAACTTCAGCTGCCAATACCACAAACAAGGATGAAAATTTGAGTAAGAATACCACAGAGAGAAATTTAAATTCAGTTAATAACGGTGCAAGGAATCAGGATTTGGAAGAAGCTGACGGTCGGACTTTACCGGAAGAAGAGAATGGAAGTGTTAGTGATTCTACCGTATCTGATGGCATTGAAAAGCAAAATACACAAAAACCTGAAGACAGTACGAATTCAAATGAAACTATGCCTTCTGACTCTAGTTCAGCATCGAAACCTGTTCACACAGATGTTCAGTCAAGCAATAATAGCCCAGTAACCTCAACCATATTACCTAGCAGTATTACAAGTAACAGTCTCAGTAGCAGCAGTGTAAAAGTTGCTGCAATTAGCAGTAGTGTTACAAGCTCAATAGATGCGTGTGACTTTGATTGTGCTTCGGGGCCAACACCTTTACCACAGCCACCGTTAGCTGTGGATGACGAACCGAATTTGGTGGAGCAACCAACACGTCAACCCGGTACCAATCCGATGGAAACTATTCCTGAAGAGCATTCAGATACTCCAAAGTCTATACCAAGCGAGAACATAGATTCTAGTAGAGCTAGCGAGGGTACTCCCAAAGTCAGTGATAGCCCGACTTTAGACCATGGGACTATATCTTCATCAAGTATTATCACAGAAAGTACAAGTCAAGCTTCAGAAAATATTTTAATTCAACCCCAAGAAGACAGTCCAGAGGCAGTAAATCGGGATACTATTATACACCAGGGTTCATCTGGGGATAACAAGGTGTATGAGCGAGATTTTAAAGGATGGGGTAACAAGGAGCATGAGGATGTACCAAACCCACATGTCGATGTGCTAAAAATAACCCTGACCGATGCGGAGACTAAAGAAGGTACGGCTGAACCAGAGCAAGCCAATGAAGACCCAGTCAGTGATATAAGGACTCAAGTAAATGAAGGCGTTCTGGACTCAGTTTGGGACGAAAAAGAGGTGGGAAAATCGGATGCAGATGCCAGTAGTGGTACGGAAAAGGATATCAAAGAGGTGGAAACACATGAGGTAAATAGACCTGACTCCTACCAGTAGAAAAAGAAAAATTTCGTTTCAGCTGGTAAAAATTTCAATTTGGGGGAATGCCGGTTTTTTCATTTCACGTTTTTCAAATTAATCTTATACAAAAAATTTTTTTTAACTATCAAGATGGATTTTTCAGTTCGGTCAAGATGAATTTTGCTTCATCTCACCAAAGAGGCTTTTAGGGAAGTACCGGATATCACATCCGGCCAGATAGTGAGATAATCTCATCCAGTATCCGGCCCGATATTACTAATATATTGGATATTGTTTATGTGAGGTTCAAGCCGTCTTTTCAGGTCAAAAAATGATTTGATAAGGTTAAAAAGTTGGGTTGTTTATCATATTCTCACTTGAAATGATCATAGAAAGGCTGGCAGTATTTTCATGATTTTTCATGGTCGTTTGTAAATGCGGAATTGTACCTTTCCTCGATTTTTGTCACTATGCCTATACATTTGTTTTGTAACATTTATATGTTAACCTCACCGAAGATGTTATCCCTATAACCTTAACCCTAAACCTTACCCAAAACCAATACCAATAAGTTAGTTCGTAAGAAAGCTAGAAGCCAGAATTCAACAGTTTTCTAATTCTGTTTAACAGGAAAACTCGGAAGACACTCGAACGGATAGTTTCGTGGTGGAAAATGATCAGAATATTGAGATTAATAAAGACGATGATGTTCTAAGCGAGAATCTAAGCCAAACGGAACTGACGGACAGTGGTCTTGAAAATTCAGATACCAATATTATGAAACAAGATTTATCCGAAGGGCAATGCGAGATGAAAGATGTCACAAATTCCAAGATATCAGAGGAGGCCGGTTCTTCAAGCAATGATCCAGGTCCTACAATCAATGTCGATACAGTTCCCACCCAGGCGCCGGGCAATGGAAATACGTATGGCAAAAAAGAATCGATATTTGTTACATTGAGCAGGAAGATCAAAGCGTTAGAACAGAATGTTACTATGACGAATTTGTTCTTGGAAGAACTCAGTCAAAGGTACGTTCTTGATAATACTTTTAGGAATATAGCATAAAACTAGTTTAGGTAACATGCATCAAGGGTCTGATCCTAACGTAAACACAGATGCCAAAAAAGTGTACTACTAGGGGGGTCCCAGAAAAAAAATGAAAATCGGGTGTCCCAGATTGGCCATACAGTATTTGTTATATCATTCTATAGGCTATATATTTATACACTATCACACTATTAATATGTATATGTACTTACAATTCCATGTCAACAGTACAGGTAATATTCTTTCTGTTGGGAATTTTTGCCTCTGAATTTCTTGTTTTATCTAAATTATTACAATTATCTTCTTTCTTGGGGAAATATTTTCTGGGAATCCAAAAAATTTCCTCGGACCATTGGTCCCATGGTCCGATACTTTTTCCACCCTTGCTGCTTTTTGACGATCTTAATTTAGCTTCTCTTCAAATGAAGGTACCGAAAGTCGATGGATGAGATGCAGAAGAAGACGGAAAAGAAGTTCTCCATGTTGTCGAAAAATTTTAAACTTCTCACCAAAATTGTACGTGTAACTGTTGAACTATATAGTATGACTATTTGATTATAGGCTCAGCTGATTATAGGCTCAGCTGAAGCCTCTATTAAATATGGCTGAAGTGATTTTAACTGAGAACATCGAGGAGTAACGTTTATGCAAATCAGGAGAATTCTGCATATGTGGATACGACATCTGATTAATCATTGATTTCTTTTGAATTTATTTCTTGAATTATCACTGTCGTTGCAATGGAAGTGTTGATAAAATATTGCATCAATTCATTACTTAGAACTGATCAATTCATTCGTTGAAAAATTGATCAACTTCTTGTGTGTTTGAATCAACCAATGGCTTTACGTTTCAGTGACTGATTGACTAATTGGGAACGAGCATGCCAGTAAACAGGAAGTTGATCAATTTTCTATCAAATTAATTGATCAACTTGAGGAAGGAATATTTTATCAACACTTCTATTGCATCGACAGTAATGAGTTTTACAATTACCTTTCGGTCAAGAAAACACAAAAGAAATCATGACCGTGAAGGAGATTTTACATGAACTTGCGATTACTATATTTATTATTAGCATGACAAAATTACTGGATGCTGATTGGTTGAGAGGAGTACAATTATTTCATTAATTGTACTGCAGTACAATTAATGATTTTCCCAAAACAAACAAAATGGCGGAAAGGGTATTTTAAACACAAAATTGCCCTAGAGGAACTAGATGAAAATACGAACAAAAGCGCCAAATTTTTCTTTAACCTTAACAAAAGAACTAAATGAAAATACCAACAAAAGCACAAAATTTTGGTTGAAAGTCTGGCAGGACTGGGCTTTGGCGAGAGAATATGATGTTGACATTGAGAAGTATAGAGAGAATATGATGTTGACATTGAGAAGTGTCAATGCTAATAATAAACAAGTAATCATGCGATGTTGCTCGTACAATTAGGGATTAATAGTACTCATGATGTTTGAAAATTTGCTAAATTGGACTCGCCCCGGCGACTCGTCCAATTTTGGCAAAATTTCCAAACATCACTCGTACTATTAATCCCTAATTGTACTCGCCATCGCATGATTACCTGTATATAAAGCTCGACAACTGGACTCTGTAGCTCAGTTGGTTAGAGAGCGTTGTAGTACTTAAGTTACAATATTAAATGTTGTGTGTTTCTTGCAGAATTTATCTCAGAATTCAACGATCCTTGCTCTGACAAACAGGATAGAACAACTTGAAGAGAAGTTGAATGAAGCCACTTCTAGATTAAAAGTTGTCAACCAAGAGGTTTGTTTATACTGTACATACGCAAGTCGTCAACAAAAGTTGTGTTCGCACTGCTTGTCCCAAGTTGCCAACAAGTTTGGAACGAGCTGTGAACATTGTAACAACCTTGTTGATATTATCAGATTTGTTGCAAGGTTGTTCCAACAAGTCCGATACAGTCGTGATATAACAATATTGTTACAACCTTGTGTCGTTAACCTTGTAACATTCTTGTTATATCATGACTGTATCAGACCTGTTAGAACAACTTTGCTCCAAGTCTGATAATGCCATCAAGCTTGTTACAAGTTGTTAACAGCTTGTTCCAAACTTGTTACAACAATTGGGAACAAGCAGTGCGAACACAACTTGTCGACAGCTTGCATGTCAACAGATTTGTAACAAGTTCTTTGTATGTTTGCATGGCGATAAAATATAAATAAATATAAATACGTGGTGTTTCCACAAACAAAACTATTAGATTTGTAACAACTTGTTTGCAGACTCGTAACAACTTGTGCGTTTTTACGTGTGTAGTTTATGATGATAAAGAAAATTCAAATTTAGGAAATTCAAAATAAGAAATATTGCCAAACTTTTTTCACCAGGTTGTCGAGCGTCACGTGCTTGGCATGTGTATTCAGGTACTGCTCGTCGTCATCATGTGGTTTGTACTGCGAGGCAAGAATGAACAGCCTGCCAGACAGACGTGTGTTGGAAATGGACATTTGAAGAATGGCAGTGTGCTGTGTAACGGAAATGACTATCACCAACAAAATGGTAAATACTAGAGGGGAGGGGGCATTCGACAGTTAACGTCGTCACGGAGAGAGGGAGGTACCTATTAGTTGTTGGATGACAGTTGATTACCTAGGGGGGTTATTGGTGAAGATTGTGTCATCAATAAAGCCCGGTACAGAAGAGCAAATTTTTCCTTGCCAAAGGGCAATGTTCCAAAGCTAGTCCTGTCAGCTTTTGGACAAGGAAAACTTGACAAGTGTACAAAAAATACTTCTGATGTTGAAATAGGTTTCACAACTTGTGAAGTATGATAAGAAATGTGTATTTATCTTAGGAACTATTGAGGACATAGAACAAGAGGAGAATTATCTTAAAGAATATAGGCCTAATGCATCAGTATGATAAGAAATGTGTATTACTTTATCTTAGGAACTATTGAGGACATAGAACAAGAGGAGAATTATCTTAAAGAATATAATGCATCAAAGGTAAAAGACTTTTCTATATTCTAGAAATACAAGCTATCGATAAAGCGATACGTGTTTATTCATAATTCTTATTCCTTTGTTAGCCATCGACACCCGAAGCAATCTCAGACACGAAACGTAGACGACGTCGCAAAAATCGTCCGAACTCTGTGGCGTCCGACCATGCATTAGACCAAGAACCTACCCAAGGCCAAAACATTGTCTCCAGAACTGCCGGCCTTCTTTTCCATACACCAGGTTCCTACGATAATATCCGACCTGCTACGAACGACTCCGGCTCCTTACGATCGTGTAGCACCGACAGTTTGAGTAGAGTGACCCAGGACGAGCGAAAATTGAACGCCAAGAAATCGGCATTTTCTCCGAAATCGAAGAAAGTGCTATTCCGAAATAAAAAGGACGCGGATGACGGAAAATCGAGAACTTGTATATCGGAGGCACGGATGACAAGAGAGCGGCATCATCGACCACACACGAAGCTTGTGCGGTCGAAAAGTTCTGGTGAATGTTATGAGAACAAGTTAGCTATCTCTGACATTGCTCTATCCACATCTGATCCTAAGAGATCCCTAGGTAATGCCAGATGTTCGCTGCAATCCACAAGTGACCCGTTGAAGGATCAGAAAAGCCGCTGGATTTGGGGTCTTGGATAAAACTTATATCTTTTTTTCGTCAGCATGTAATTTATTTTCGTTCCTTGTATTTATAGAAAATCACATGTCATTCCATACTATTTATTCAACACATTGAAATTTTAAAGTCTAATATTTTGATACAAAAATAGAACGTAATTGTTTTTAGAGTAAAAACAGTGTCTGCTAAATTAAAATGAGTATAAGTTTATAAAATAATCCCTTAAAATTTACCCTATCAAAGTTTCCTTGACTCTGTAATTATGTAAATTGGCTTTTTACAGTAACATTTTACAGTAACATATGCGAAGCTTATTCCGTTGAAAGCTGTACTTAATACAAATCAATCTCTTGGGCCTCTTGTCCATATCTTAAAGTGAAGAGGCTTCTTTACTTCATGCACGATTAATGTTTTAAAAAATACAAAACAAGAGACACTCCGAAAATTGTAAACATTTTAATTCATTACGTTTCGACTATAATTTAAGTTATCTTCAGAAGAATGCCACGTATTTCGAAAAGCCAACTATTTATAAGCTAGATGCTTGCGTGTTCAAAGTTTGATAACGTCATTAAACTAACGGAAAATTGTTATTTTTTTCGACGCACGCGTACCATGGTTCAATGCTGGATTACAACGATGGATATGAAAAGCCTCTTTAAATAACAATAATGGCCAATCGTTAGATCGATCAATTACTTTACAATTACTATAAATTAAGTCTACCAAACTTGTAGAATAATTACAATCTAGTAAATTAGCTGGAAAATTTAACAAAGTACGAATAAACTGAAATTCATCACAATTATGTGCATGATTAAAAATTTCTGACTTATCAGACTTAGTTATGTTTCAAATTACTACAAAATTGTTTATGTTTAACGTCACAATTAATTAACGGTTATCCAATTAGAACAACACGAAACATTCTAATTATCATAATTAGCGTCGTGATTGCGCTTCAGTTGTCTATTGGCAATCTACAGTTTAAAAAACATGTCTGAAAACGATCTCCAATCGCTCGGTTCGGATTTCTAGCTCTGCACCATATTATAAAGGCTGGTTTACACTATCAAAGTTTCTGTGATCACAGTTGGAATTTTGCATACGTTTGAAGAGGGCCCTGAAGGGGTAAAATGGGAACTGGGATTGTCTATATTTAGACTGGAAAAATGGGATTTGGGTTCCTGGGACTGGGATTTGGCCACTGGAAATGGGAAATGAAGTCCTCAAAAATGGGAATGGGATCGAGGTAATGCGAGTCGATTCCCAATTTTTCTGCGTTTTGAGTATTTTAAAATACAATTTTGATCCGTTTTTGATGTCTTGGGTCATGAAATTTGTTGTTAACTATATTATTCGCAACACTACCTGAGAACAAGCATACTCTGGCGCCCGAAATTTCTGGGTTTTCTGATTATGCGTGTCGCAGAATGCTGCAAATGCTATTTCCGGGATTGAAATTAAAAAATTTTCCGTGCCTTCGGCACGGACCCTCCCTAATATTTCATAAAGTGCCCGCCACTTGCTTAAAAGGTCTTAAAACTGTTTATTCTAACGATAAATAAAGGGTGTTTTATTAACTGGGATTTCAATAACTGGGACTGGGATTTCTAATAAAAATGCAACTGGGACTGGGATTTTGCCAAAATTTCAGGTGGGAAATGGGATTGGGACCCCCACCCCTTCAGGACCCTCTTTGAAGGATTTGTAAAAAAAATGTTTGAGGGAACTGATTCATGTGTTAACATAAACCATAGACAATCCAGAAGACAAGAAGGCTGTCTTCTGGATTTTCTATGCATAAACCAGCCTTCAGAATCAAGTTCATATGTGGCCTCCTTCGCAGACGTCCGTGTGCTCGCCCCATAGTCTCATAGGGAGAGGATCGGAGAGAGAACGTACACAACTGGCGGCTGCGAGGGAGACTAGTTCATATTTCGCTGTACTGTTACAGTAAAGTTGAAATATCAAACATATGCAAAAAGCAGCGAGCGAATATTCTATTGTTTTTTGAAATGGAAATTTTTTACATAAAATTCTTATTTGACGTGAAAATTGCGCGCGGTGCCCTGACGAAGTTGGTGAATGGTGATGCATCAATCAATCAATCAAAACACCCCCCCCCCATCCTCGTACCCAGGGTCCCCCCTCCCCCCGACAACGAAAAAATGACATCTATATTGGCATATTGCATTTAATATCCGTACACCCCCTGTTGAGGACCTTGGAAATCCAGGGGTTGACCTCCATTTTTTGTGCTGGAAATCCAGGGGGTGGGGTCAAAATTCACTTATTTTCGCTGGAAATTCCAGGGGGTGGGGGCCAAATCTCGTGTTTTTTTCGCTGGAAATTCCAGTGGGAGGGGTCAAAACTCTTATTTTCTCTGGAAATTCCAGGGGGTGAGAGTAAAAACTTGCTTATTTTTGCTAGAAATTCCAGGGGGAGGTGTTCAAAAGTCACTTATTTACGCTGGAAATTCCAGGGGGGGATGAAAAAATGGCACATTTCCAAGGGTAATTGATTTAAAATGCTTGGAATTCCAGGGGGTAAGACAAAACATAGCAAGGAAATCCAGGGGAATGTAAAACATAGCAGATTTCCAAGGGTAATTTATTAAAAACTTGTGGAATTCCAGGGCCTAAGAGAAGAAATGACATGGAATTCCAGGGGTCAGATATTCGAACAGTGTGTCCTCTCTCTCCTCCGCAGAGGCTTTATATGAATTTTGGGATAGGTAATAGGACCTCTACATGCGTCTTGGACCTGTGGTTTGCTTATATTTTATAATCATAATTCATCCAATGGATTTCTTATATTTTCAACGGGGTCTTGAAATAGACCATCCCGTGAAATATTGTGTAAAAGGTGCACGCGTGTAATGCGTGCGTTGTTTTGTGTATCTTTATGTAAATCCATTGTAGAAATATCGTAATTGAAGTTGGCGTGTATTGTATGTAAAGTTATTACTTGGTAATTGATAGGTGTGATTTGATGATGCACATGAATTTATCACAGGGCCGGATTTGACCATACTGCGATATTGCAAATTAGGAATTGGTAATAGGGCTTGCATATTTTAATTTTGGAATAGGTAATAAGACCTCTACATTAGTGATGGGCGATACCGAGTACTCAGTATTCGATACCAGCGATACCACAAACAGCGGTATCGGTATCGATTACTGACGTGGTATCGTTCGATACTTGCACTCTTTTTTAATTAAATGACTTTTTAAATTTCACTTCTTGGTTGAATAAGACTTTATTACAAAAAAAGTGTGAATTTGGAAAAAAAGTGGTTAATTGACAAAAATTTTAGAAAATTATGGAAAATTTTTTGTTTTTAGAAAAAAAAAGTTAGATAAATGGGGAAAATTGCTGATGTCCGGAAAAAGTTGGATATGTCCGAAAAAATTTTTTAACCCCTAAAATGGTACACTGACCAAAATTTTTTTGGCGACGGGGGGGTGGGGGGGGGGGAGTAATGTAAAATGCTTTTCCGCCGCTGACCGGCAGGTATCGAAAGTAGCGATACTAGCAATTTAAGTACTCACTTCCGGTATCGAAAATTGAAATTTTGTGTTCATTTTGGTATCGAAATAGGTATCGGTATCGGCCGATACCGATCTTAAAAGTATCGGTATCGGTATCGAATTAAAAATCCTGGTATCGCCCATCCCTACTCTACATGTGTCTTGGACCTGTGGTTTACTTATATTCATTTCACATATATATACACATATACACACATATACACATACATACACACATACACACATATACACACATATTTATCTAATGGATTTCCTAATTTTTCAACTGTTTGTGTCTTGGACCTGTGGTTTACTTATATTCATTTCACATATATATACACATATACACACATATACACATACATACACACATACACACATATACACACATATTTATCTAATGGATTTCCTAATTTTTTACTTCCCTTTGCTGCCTGCGCTCCTTCGCCCAGCGGCTACGCTCGTGTTTCAAGATCCGCCATGTAAAGTGTAGTGAAATGTATCTCATCGTAATACTAAATCCTAAGAAAACTAAAGCCTCTGCGGAGGAGAGAGGTGTGTCCTCAACAGGGGGTGTACGGATTTTAAATGCAATATGCCATTTATTATCACTTTCAAAGCGAAACTGAAATGGGCCATATAAAATCGCAGGATAGAGTTAAAAGGTCTCGGTTTGGGCCACTTTTGGCAACAAAACCAACCTTAGCTTAAGAATTGGCGAGAGGTGTTTTTGTCTCTAGTCTATTTATACAAAATAGAGTCTATTTATACAAAATAGAGCCTGATCTCAGGTTTAATAGTATACCTCGGTAATTGCTATTATGCTTTCAAAAACAGCATGATATCGCTATATTAAACCACTATCACTGGACTACGTCGGTCAGTTAAGCGGTGGCGACGTGCTGGGTTTGCAAAACAAATGCCTATTAAGAGAGCAGCAAGTCACACACACAAAATGGCCAGAGGAATACTGTTATCAGTGTTGTGGGTGACGCTTCTTCTGTGTCGGTAAGCGAGAGATATTTTCTGGGTATTTTTCTATATTTTGTTGTGTTTTGTGCGCTTTATTTTGTACCAGTTGTTGTCAAAACGTTTTGTATATTTGTTTCAAAATTTCAGGTTTGTACAGTTACGACCAATTACTCTGGATAGCGATGGTAAAAAGGTATATTTTAAAAAGCCGATTTTATCTTCTAACACAACATTTACTGATTTACTCATTTCAAATATTATATTTTATACTTGTAAACATAGGTGAATCATTGCGCTAGACGACTCAGTTAAGGGGTGTGACTGCAGCATGGTGTGAGTTCTTGCAAATGCAATGAACTTTGACCCATATTTTTTAGGCTGAATGAATAAAAGTACCACCTTCTTTCCTGATTTGTTTGCTGCAAACAGAATTAGTTTTTTAAAATTTCCTTTGAAATTACATTTTTAGTTACTAAAACTGCATTGTTGTATTCTTTTGAATAGAACAAATTCTCGCTCAACTTGAAGATATATTCTTTGAAAATTTGACTATTATTCGATCTACCCTGGTTCCAGAAGTTCTTTGCGAGGCGAAATAAACAAGAGGCAAGAAGGGAGAGCCTCTGGCAAAGCCTCTGGTCACATTGGTTGCAAATCCCACTTCCACACTTGATTAGGTTCAGAATTTGAATCTCGCATGTGATTGGCCGTTTGTAAAAATATGTCAAACCGGTTTGGGAAATAAACATCACTGTAAGCTAAGTAATGTTTATTTCACAAACTGGTTTGACATATTTTTACAGGTGGCCAATATCACATGCGAGATTCAAATTCTGAACCTAATCAAGTGTGGAAGTGGGATTTCAGCAACCAATGTGACCATGCAGATCGATGCTCTATCCTTCTTGCCCCTCATTTATTTCGCCTCACAAAGAGCCTCTGGAACCAGAGTACTATTATTCAAAATTAATATAACATAAAATATAGTTTGAACTAATCTAATGCTGACTATAAATCTACCAATGCCTTATTTATATTCAATTGAGTTATGCACTTGTCTTGTCAATTGTAACCCCCATCCCCCTCTAAACAAGTCTAGTATGGGGACATGTAGGGTGGTTTCACTCTTTTGACTCTTAGTTATGCCTGACTAGGCAGGGGATTTTCCTGGTTTGTGGAACATTATATGTGGGAATGTATACAGCCCGCTTGCAGGTTAAGATTCCTGTTCAATGGTCCTGTTGAGCCTCAGAGCCTGATCTTTTTAAATTAAAGTCAATTTTATCTGGAGCAGGTAATTTTTCAAATTGTGCCCCGATGGGTTGGGGGATTAGACAGGATTAGTTAGGTCAGCCTGCCTCAGGGGGTGGGGCAATAAGTTCTTTGTATGTTTGCATGGCGATAAAATATAATAGTTTTGTTTGTAGAAACACCACGTAAATTTATTACTGCAATAATTATAAGTAAATAATTAGGTGGGGCAATAGTTATAAGTATGGATATATTAAAAATCTATGTCCCCACATTTCCCCGAGGTTGGGGGAGGGGGGGGGGTTTATACAATTGACAAGTGCATTAATTTGTGCTATTTCAGTGTTCATCCAGTGTACAAATTAATTTTACAAATCTTCTCTCCATGTCTATACTCTATCTAGGTGGATAATTTTGGTAATACAGCTGAGGATGATACTGAAAAAATGTTTGAAAATTTGGATCGGGATGAAAGTGTTGATAGTGGTGATGGTAGAAAAGTTCAAAATGTTAAAAACAACAAAAAGTGAGTGGAGAATGTGTTACCTGAAACAGAATGTGCACTTCAATTACAAAAAAAAGTCTATAGGCCAGGCCCATAAGGCCAACCTATAGGTTTCTATGGGAAACCTATAATAGGTTTTTATAGGCAATACACCCAGTCTTTCGATTATGACGTCATTAATGGCTTGCGAGCCTCACTCTAATGAATCGTGAGCCAATCACCTTGCATAATTTACTTATGAGTGCGAGGCTCCTGAGGACCAAAAAGTGGCATAATTATTGAAAGGGTGTATTCGAACATTGACCAGCTATAGGGATTAGAGGTGTCCGATTGGATTTGTTCGGATTTCGGAACAAAAATATTTATTTCGGATTGGATCGGATTATTTGATAAAGTTGTTTCGTAGTCGGATCGGATTGGACTTCTATATTTGAAATAAAATGAATTAATTATATATAATAATTATTATTTGGTTAAATATTTCCACTTGAATGAGAAATTCATTTTATTAAAGGATTCTTCTGATCGGAATTCTTTATCAAAACTCGGATCAGATCGGATTCGACAATTTCGGATTGGATCAGATTTTAAACATTAGCCAATTGTCGGATATATTATAAACGTCCAATATCCGATCCGATGTGCACACACCTGTAATAGGGATGCCTATTTAACAATAATTTGCATAAATAATTTACTTCTGTCTGATTTTCATGCATGCATTTTGTTTGGAAAAGCAATAGTTACTGCTCAGAGCAGTCTGAGCAGTAACTATTGCTTCAGAGTTACTGATGAGGGAGCCAATCAGAATGCTAAAAAATATTCCTAACAAAAAAAGTCTATAGGCCTGGCCTATAGGCCAACCTATAGGTTTCTATAGGAAACCTATAGGTTTTTATAGGCAATTGGAACATTTTCTATAGGTGACCTATAGGGATGCCTATAAGCCTATAGAGCTCTATACTGGTGCCTAAAGGCTTCTATAGGGAATTGGAACATTCCCTATAGGAACCTATAGGCCACCTATAGACTTTTTTCGTCAGGGTAGGCCATTTTTCAATACTGAAATTACACTAAAAGCCTATAGAGCTCTGGCTAAAGGCTTGTATATGGAATTGGAACATTTCCTATAGGCACCTATACTGCATGGCCACCTATAGACTTTTATTATAAGGCCCATATAATAAAGTATGTAGTGATCATTATAATTTATAAATAATTTTGCAATATATTACTATAAGAGCCCACGTGAGCCCCCTAGATGAGCTTAAATAGCTCTTGGGGCAAACGATTAAATATGTTTAAATAAATAAAAAAATAAATAAAAAAATAAATAAATATATTATAGTTATTCCAAAGAGAGTGCAATATTATACACAATATTATTATATTTTACTATTACCTGTATAGGACCCATTACACTTTACCCTATAGACTGCAGAGCAGTGTTAATTGTTACGAGTCAAGTCGAATACAAAAATGCATAAAATTATTAAGATCTGTGACTAATGACTCGAGCGAGTCTAATATGAAAAATGACTTGACTCAAGTCAACAGCCCAAAATGGCTCGACTTGTTAATTTCTGCCGTAAATGACTCGAGTCTACTCAGCTACAACTTGTTCAGGATAAATTCATCAAAAAATATTGTAGTTGAATAGGTTGGGAAGAGTCCTGAAAGGGCTTGAGGAAATAAAAAGTAATTCGCGATGCAGATATAGCCATGTTTCCACACTGTAGGGAAATTTCTTTAGGCATTTTTGTTCACCCACCTTTTTGTTCACCATACAATATAGCCTCACCTCAGACTCAAGTCAACCAGATAGTGAAATGACTTTGCTTGTGACTCAACCTTTGCATGACTTGACTTGTGACTTGACCTGTTGGTGACTTGTTACAACACTGCTGCAGAGTAATATAGCAAAGTATGGTGCATCAATCTGGTTATTAATTAACCATTTATTCTCTCTAATGTCCTTGGGTAATCTTGCTCATTATAAAAACCTCTTAGATGTCACCATTGACATCTTAGCATGCAATTAGTAACTTTACATAATTACAAAGTGTGTTACAGTACTTAATTAGCAACAAAGATTTACAAAACTTAATTAGCAACAAAGATCTTATCACCATTTGTATCAATTTATTTACAGAATTCCACATGGTGTAACATCTACTAACAATCGGAACACAGGCGAGCCAATGCTGACCAATAATGAATATATAATACCAGAGGAACCCACAGAAGTCGATGAGGAAGGTAATGATTTTTTTTATCAGAACACAGCGATCATGGCAATTTACAACAAGAATAAATTGGAAAACTCAGTAGCACGAAGTTTCCTATACAAATAGTATTAATTTACACGTTTAGTGTGTATCTTCATGATCATCATTCTGTCGTCTGCTCATAAGTCAGGCCTCTTTGCACCTTTCTCAAACCATATATTAGGCATAGCTAATTGTCTTCTTCTTCTTTTTGTTATTTATTTTGAGGTATTTCTTCACACAATCTGTCAAACATTTCCATGATCTACCACGTGGTTGCTTTTCATTTTCCTTTCCATTACTCTGATCTACAGTGATATACGATGTTGCTCGATCTCATCTTCTAGAATGCTCAAACCATCAATTGCTTCCTCGATCTTTTGTATCATCACTATTATTCACGATAATCACCAAGCTATCCTGGTTCCAGAGCTATAAATAGCTATTAAATTAGCTTACCATACTGTTTATTTCCCAAACCAGTTTGATATATTTTTACAAATGGCCAATATCACATGCGAGATTCAAATAATTTCTGAACCTAATCAAGTGTGGAAGTGGGATTTGCAACCAAATGATGTGACCAGAGGCTTTATGGTATCATGCAAAAAAGAGTAAATGAACTTGCTGTTTTAAAACTGCATGCATGACTATTCTTTCGACACAAAAAAGAAAATATGAAACGAAAACGTTTAACGAAAATTTGGCGAAGAAATTTCGAACGTGCCGTTTGCCGTTCCCGGAAACGCGAAGCTTAAACCAGTGGCTTAAACTCCCTATTATACGGCAGTGGCGGAAATCTCGGTGGGGCGGGGTGGCGACCGCCCCCCCCCCCCACCTTCACGGAAAATTGACGGATTTTCGGAAATTTTGACCTAAAAGAGGGCTAAAAACATCCTTTTCGAATGCAAATGGGGGGGGGGGGTCGGAAATTTGAAAGTTTTGTCGGAAATTTAGGAAGCTTTGTCCTCCCCCCCCCCCGGAAAAAGTGAATTTTTGCCACTGCCAATCAGCGTGGAGAATTGTCAATAATCACCTATGTAATTATCAACCTCGTCCCCAGGGCCTATTGAGGAAGGAGGCGAAGCCTTAGCTGCCCTTCGCATCTTTCCTCAAAAGGCCCTGGGGACGAGGTTGTGTAATTATACTAAATACTAATAATAATAGCATGTTTTAATATGCACACTACTGTATAGGTACACCTGAGGATATGCCTTCTTTTAACGAATGGAAACGAAAAAAATTCGCTCAGGAAGAGGAGAAAAAAGTTCCACAAATTAATGAGAAAGTCTACGAACACATGATTGATCACAAACTGATCAATCATGCGTCCGTAGACTGCGGGGCCAATATCCAAGAGAAGAACCAGGAGGCCCGAAATGCAAATTCGATTCTCCTGGAAAACAAAGATGCATACATGTTGAATCCGTGCAGCGCTAACGTATGGGTTATTGTTGAACTCTGTGATCATGTTCAGGTCATATCGTTACAGCTTGCGAATTTTGAAATGTTTTCATCGACCATTGAGAAATTTCAAGTGTCGTTTAGTACCAGATATCCAACACGAGAGTGGAGTCCAGTGCAGGAATTTGTTGCCAAACCGGAGAAAACCATACAGACGTTCACGATAGATCCAACGTTTGCCAAGTACATAAAGGTATAGTAATTAAAGGTTACATGTGTGGGCAAGGTAAGTTCAGTAGGTAGGCTGCTTACCTCCAAATTAACGAAGGGCCTTTGATCGAAATGTCGACGTTTTCTTAATTTTTTCCGGTAGTTCCGAGAAAAAGGTGGAAGTACTGTCCTCACGTGTGTTAGGTGAAATCATAATCAGAAAACTGCATATTGCAGGAAGCCGGGTCACAGAGGTGATTTAGATTTCTTTACAGTCTAACTATATGTAATTGCATGGAAGCTAAAAGTAAAGCTTGGAATGTTGAAACCTCAGTGGTTGAAACTGGTTAAAAAAATTTTTAACCAGTTTCAATTTTCCAAGCTTTACTTTTAGCTTCCATATACGTTTCCCACTGCTTGCAATTTTAACATTTTTCGAACAACTATATGTGTTCTACAGAAAATTTTTTTTGGGGGGGGGGGATTAGCCACATGCACCTACCACCGTGCCAACCTCGCAAGCAAGGGCCTCCACACCCGCGGCGGGACGGAGACCCTTGTAAAGGCTGGTCACATGACCTCCAAGATTCTGGGAGGTAAATCAAATTATACTGAGGGAGGGGTGGTTGAGGAGCGGGTCTGAAAATTTCTCATATTCCCCAAATGAGAAATTTACAAACCCGCTCCTCAACCACCCCTCTCTCAGTACAATTTGATTTACCTCCCAGAATCTGGGAGGTCACGTGACCAGCCTTTACAAGGGTCTCCGTCCCGCCGCGGGTGTGGAGGCCCTTGCTTGCGAGGTTGCCACCGTGCATCACTAAATGTCGGACATATTGTTCCAATACTGTTGGCTATAAAATATAGCAGCAATAATGACATAAAGGATTGAACAATAGTGTTCAACGTTGCTTTCGTTAACCGTAACTTATTTTAAAATCCGTTTTCCTTGTAGGTAGAGCAGTTAAGTCACCACGGCTCAGAACATTACTGTCCTTGGAGTTTACTTCGCGTCTATGGTAACAGCATGGTTGCAGAATACGAAGAGCATGAATCATCACAAGACGGCAACCCCAGTGGGATTCACGAAGATCTGAACACTTCATCTAACACCACTGAAGATAAACAAATTCCTCAAGGCATTCTTAAAAGTGTCATCGATGCTGTATTGAACTTTGTCAAAGAATTGGTTAAGAAGCTAATTGTCGATACGGAAGACGGTACGAACTCGACCAGTAATATAGCAAATACCACCAAGTATCCAGAAGATAACTACATCCAACCGCCCCTGCCGATCGTCCAACTTACGCCACGAGACGATTATGAAGCCAGTTATCATGGGAATAAATTGGATAATGACGAAACCTCCAACACGTGTTTGTCAGGAAGCGAGTGCGATTCAACGGAGTCTATCCCTAATTCTCATCAGGCTTTTCTGGAGATTGTCCATAACATATGCAGTCGACGTTTGAAATGTGCTGAGGCGTTTTATGCTAATTTTAGTAAAATTTCAGCTGCCAATACCACAAACGAGGAAGAAAATTTGAGTAAAAATACCAAAGAGAGAAGTTTAAATCAGGATTTGGAAAAAGCTGACAGTCAAATTTTACCAGAAGAAGGGTATCCTAAAGAGAATGTAAGAGTTAGTGATTCTACCGTATCTGATGTCATTGAAAAGCAAAATACACGAAAACCTGAAAACAGTACGAATTCAAGTCAAACTATGCCTCCTGAGACTAATTCAGCTTCGAAACCAGTTTACACAGATATTTCCGCAATCGCTGGTAACCCATTTACTCCAATCGTATTACCTAGCAGTAAAACTAGTAACAGGCTCGAGAGTAGCAGTGTCAGCGGTGTAACAAAGTCAATTGATGAGTATGATTTTGACCGTGCCGCGGCACCAACCCATTCAGCACAACCACCTTTAGCTGTAAATGACAAACCAAATTTGGTGGAGCAACCAACATATCAATACCAAGCAAGTTCAGATACCAAATCTACACCAAGTGAGAACGTAGGTTTTAGTAGAGCTAGCGAGGGTCTCCCCAAGGTCAGTGATAGCCCAACATCGACTTTAGACCATGGAACTATACCTTCATCGAGTATTATCACAGAGGCAGTAAATGGAGATACTATTGTACACGAGCGTTTACCTGGGAATAACAAGGAGTATGAGCGAGATTTTAAAGGATCACCTAGGAGTAACAAGGATCATGAAGATGTACCGAACCCACATGTTGATGTGCTAAAAATGACCCTGACCGATGCGGAGACTAAAGAAGGTACGGCTGAACCAGAGCAAGCCAATGAAGACCTAGCCTGTGATTCCAATAGTAGTATCAAAGAAGAGGAAACACCTGAGGTAAATAGATATAAAAAAGAATCCGCCTCGACCAGAACTTAGAAAAGAATGCGATGAATACTTTTCTCAAATAATATTGTAGATTGTTTTCGTGAATTGTCAGGAATTTTATTAGATATTTTCGTGCCAGTACCGGAAAAGGATTCCCACTGATAGTTTAGTCTTGAACATTGATAGTGAAAGTTTTCAGCTTCTGATGCTCTGGTATTGTAAGAATGAATTCAGCTTATTCTGTTAAATAAGTTGGTTATATTAGGACGGGTTATATTATTTAATCAGGCTTTTGTTATAAAGGAGGAACAGGACAAAATTCGATTTCTTGAAATTTAAAGTCCGTTTATTTGCAATTACCCAGTCAGAAATATGTTCCAATTATATCAACGGATTTTAAGTTTTTGTGTGTTTGTTTTTTTTATTTAGAATATGTGTAGTATCAAACAAGATTCGTCAGGACAATGTAAGATGAAAAATGTCACAAATTCAAAGATGCCAGAGAAAGCCAAGTCTTCAAACAATGATCCAGGTCCTGTCAAGCCAGTACCCACCCATGGCAATGCGATGAGTAATGTCAAGAAAGAATCGCCATTGGTTACATTGGGAAAGAAGATCAAAGTATTAGAACAGAATGATTATATGATGAAGTTGTTCTTGGAAGAACTCAGTGAAAGGTACGATACATTGACCCAGTTTGTATTAGAGACAGGCGATGCGGACGAACGTGAACAAAGGTATAAGATAGTTTCTGTGATAATTCCTTCGTGTATCGTCATCAACTCTTGTTTTCGCTCGACCGGAGCATATAAGAGTTGAGAAAACTCTCATGCGAACTCTCGCTTGCCAACTCTCATCAACTCTCGTTCTCATTTGACAACAAGCTTGCCCGGTGTGGGTATACACTCAGAGTAACATCACAAACATCATATTCACCTGAGTACATGGCACCAACACAGAAAAAATCAACAATTTTATACTTTTCTCCAGGTATTTCGGTATATATGATGTATATATTATATACAAACACTCTTTTTATAATCTTTATTTTTTCGCTATATGTTCAGATATCGAGCGTCGATGAATGATGTGAAGCGGAAGATGAAACGCAAAATGGAAGCAATGGAGATGAAAATCTTGAAGTTGTCTAAGGAAAACAAAAGTCTTAGGAGAATGGTACGTGTAACGTCCATATAAAGTATTAATGCTGCGGTATTCTATTAAGTCACTTGAAGAAGATCCAGGCCATGCAAGTAATTGAATTTTGTTTTTCTTTCAGTATTATTCTCTGGAATCCACAATCCTCACCCTGACAAACAGGATAGAACAACTGGAAGAGAATGAAACAACTTCTAGATTAATAGTTGCCAACCAACAACAGGTATGTAGAGCATTCTTGCGTTGCACACGAGAGCCTAAACTTGCCAGCTTGCCTAGCTAACCGCCTCGTGTGGCAGCTAAAACGAATTTACTCGAATTATAGTCAAAATTTCTGTAGAGGAGGTGCTTGCTTGCAATTTGTTGCTTTGGAGTTTTTCGCTTCAGCAGCTCAATTTTGCCTTTCGTGCATGATGTATTCTGAATGCAATATAAAAATTAATGCCCAGCATAACGTACGCAAAAGAGCCATATAGACAAGGATATAGACATAAAATTTATTTGAGAAGTACTAGTAAATGAATATACTATGACAATGAGTTACAAATATGAATAAAATTACTATTTACACTATCAAATTACAAGGTAATAGGAATGCGGAGGATGGGGTGGGGGGGGGGGAGTTAAAGGAAAGAAGTCAGAGGAGAGAGGAATGGAGCTACCTTGCTGATTCAAAGTATAGGTTTGAGCTTTGAGATAAGTAATTTATTCACATTTGTAACTCATTGTCATAGTATATTCATTTACTCTGAAGATGTCATAAGTCAAAGACTAAACGTTAGTACTTCTCAAATAAATTTTATGTCTATATCCTTGTCTATATGGCTCTTTTGCGTACGTTATGCTGGGGCCCTGGGCATTAATTTTTATATTACGATTACAATTCCCCCCTGGTTCATCACTTGCAAGTATTTTGAATGCGCGATGATCTAATGAGTGCATATTGGGCCCACAAATCGGAACTTTAGTGAATTAACTCAAGCTAGTGCGTCTAGCAATGCAAGCTATCGAAATAGTTCGCCTTCATTCATAATTCTTTCTACTTTGTTAGCCATTAACACCCGAAGAGATCTCTGACACGAAACAACATCGCCAAAACCGTTCGACCTCTGCCGCATCTGACCTCTGCCGCATCTGACCTCTGCCGCATCTGACCTCTGCCGCATCTGACCTCTGCCGCATCTGACCATGTATTCGCGACCATGCGTGGCGTGTAGGACGGCAACGCGAAGACGACTGCAAACAAACTCGTTGAACTAAATGATTGTGAAGAAAACGTGTCGTCTATTATCCATCGTATGAAATTGATATACAGTTTAATTAAGGATCGAGATTAAGACAGGGTTTATGGTTGAGAAGAGTTCCGGAACCGATTTAAAGTGGCAGTTATCGCAGATTAAAATGTAGGCGTTGTATACTATTTATTTATTTATTTGCTGATTCGCCCAAGATATTGAAATTACACATAAAAGAAATAAACTATTTACAGGAGATGGGCTAGGAGCCAACTAGAAACCATATGGCTTTTGGCTATAGGTTATAAATTTAAACTAATTATAGCAATGAAAATGATATGCAGCATCAGTTCGAGTGCTTTTAAGAGAAAGGAAAAGAATAGTTAAATATTATGATATGATAGTAAGCTATATTTATACTTCAATTTTTGATATATTTCAATACGTAGGCTATGTATATCCTTATTTACCATTTTATGTACACTCGAACTCTACAACTTACGTGTGAGTTTACTTCAATATTTATCTATTTAGTTTATAAAAATATGACAATATTTATCTATTTAGTTTATAACAATATATATTCCGATGTTGTTGAGCACTCTGTGGAGTTGTTAATGGATGTTGTAATTAGCGATAATGGAAAGCTCACTTCCCTTGTGGTCGTTTGAGCACTCTGGCCATTAGTAATGCATTACACTCTGCGCATGTCTGGATGCGTCGATGTCATCGTGTTGTACCACATGCTTGGTGAGAGATGGACATTCAAAGGAATGTCTATGATGGTGAGAGCAAGCTCATGCATGTGCTATAAATACGAATGTATCACGTTTCTGGACGTGTAAGATATAGGTGAGAGCAAGCTCATGCATGTGCTATAAATACGAATGTATCACGTTTCTGGACGTGTAAGATATATATATATATATATATATATATATATATATATATATATATATATATATATATATATATATATATATATATATATATATATATATATATATATATATATATATATATATATA